TAAAGCATAATTCAATCAAAATATACAAAGGTAAGACAATGTTTAACTCAGAAATGTCAATTTTACAATCTTTATTTCCATACAACAGAAATTTAGAAGTGTTTTAACAAATGACGAAAATGTGGCCCAGAAATTGGAATCAAGAAAAATGCCTTCCAAAAGCTAAACAAGATATTAATAAACAAGATCATCTCATTAGAAATGCTGGACTAATTTTGAACTACTTTGTAACAACCATGTTCCTATATGGCAGTGAATTCTAGACAATATTCTCACAAATGAATAGACGATCTGAGGCAACAAAAAAACTGTTCTACAGAAGGATGCTGAGAATACCATGGACAGAGAATGTTAGCAATGAGGAAGTTTTAAGGAAAATGGTAACAAAAAGAATACTTGTTCTTAAAATAAGAAACAATTGATGTTTCAGCGACACATAATGAGGAAATAGGGCTTAGTGAATTTGATATCCACAGGACACTCTGAAGACAAGAGGAGCAGAGGGAAACATTTTGTAACCTATCCAACAAGTTTGTGGAAATGGATGGCAGAATGGAATGATAGAGAGATAAGTGGACAGGCATTGTTTAGAACTACAATGGATCAAATGATAGGAAGTTCTAGAGAGCCATGATCACTCTTGTTGTAAAGAGCAAAGGCACATATAAGATTTCATTATTTATGTGCATCATTTTTCATTTCATTGTCAGAAAACAAAATAGAAGGCATTTATTTCTGGCATATTTTCATTGAAGAAATATGAAAAGTTCACTACATCTTATGGGGGTGGAGATATTTGCAGATTAAGTTCAAAAATATTTATTTCTGTTTACATTAATAACCGAAATTGTAGTCTTACACCAAAACTTTACAAGCAGTAATTATCACTGTTAAAGACAAATCTATATAGCAAAAGAGGAAGATTTTTTTCTTTTAAGGAATACAAATTTCATGTTAAACCTTCCTATAGTATACCAACCAAAATTGAGAACCATGCTACAAAATAGTTTGGTTTTTTTTCTCTTTCTCTCTCTCTCTCCCCTCTCTCTCTCCTCTCCCCTCTCTCTCTCTCTCTCTCTCTCTCCCCTCAGTTTATTACTCAGAATCGTGGAAATGGCAAAAAATTTCCTCCCCCTCAAGAAATCATGGCAGGAAGCCAGTAAAAGGAATCCGTGGAGAGCTATGATCTCTTACATCCTGAAAAGACATAGCATTATTTTTTTAATCTTTTTTTTTAAATCCCTTAAAAGCAATTTTTATGGGAAATATATAAATTTTTAATATCTTAATAAAATTGAAACCACAATTGGGACGTCTGATAAGAGACTAAAGTGAAAATGTAAATGAGAATATTTTTGCTTTACCTTTCGCTATCATACACTTAGAATGTTACACGTAAAAGGATCAGCAAAATGTGTCTGCATCTAAAATGATGAAAGCTTTCAAGTTTTGTTCTCAAATTTGATTATTATTATTATCAGCACTTGTGTTAAAAGTGCATCTGACAAAAATATTCAACAAAAACTGATAATCCCAAAGGTAGTTTTCACTGGGGAAATCTGTATCTGTATTTGCATTCAATAAATAGCAGTTCATCTTTAAAGAGGAAACCATTGCTTGGAAATTAGCCAGAAAGTCAGGTAGACTCCTGTTCCTTGCCAGACAGCCATTTCGTAGTTTCATGTGAGATAATTGTTGTACTCTTGTTAACTTGCCTCTTTCTTTAGCAAACCAGAGGATGAACATTGTGCATTAAAGATGTCAAGTCAGGTTTATATATGGTTGCATTGAATAGACTCTAAGTGGCATCCACTTGGTTCTTGGATAATGCATGTTTCGAACAAGTTGTTCTTTTGAAAAACAGACTTTCTAAGCTGACAACTCTCAAACCATTTCTGTTTGAAATGACTCCTATTACAGGTGTCGGAAAGTGAGCTGGAAATAATTCCACTTGATGTCTTTTAATACAGGCTTCACACATTTTGGTTTTCATATAAGATTCTAAATTTTATTTTTGTTGTTTTTTTACATCTTACTAAATTCTATTCACCTTTCCAATTTCATTGGTTTAATTTGGAAAACAAAGTACCTCCACCTTTTACACAATCAAATTTTCTTGCTGTGTTGATAAATTAAAAATTTTTAAAAAATATTGCTGAAGAGTGAAGGTTAAAAAAAACAGTTTCATGGATCCGTTTGCTGATTTAATGTTATTGTCTAGAGCTTCTACCACTTTTTTTTTGACACCTGTTGTCTTTTCACTTCATGAATTTAGTAGATTGTAACTAATTATGATTTCTGAAATTTATTTTTTCTCAATGTTTCTTTGGCCTTTGTAAGCCATTTGGCCAAGTGGTTATAACAAACAATCTAACCATGAGGTCTAGGTTTGAATCTCACCATAACCAATTTACCAGGGAGGTGATTTTTGATATTCTCATCTTGGATTGAAGATTCTAGCATAAAGCACTTTGCCCATAAATCCATGCCTTAGGAGTGAAATTGGTAGAGTTGTTTGAAAACTGTCAATATTTTTGTAAATGTTAACAAGTGTGTGTATATATATATATATATATATATATATATATATATATATATATATATATATATATATATAAATATAATCATTTGCAAACAGTTCTGTTTCACTGTATCACAGCTCCTCGGTGCGACTAGACAACCGAATGCCTCAAGCCTAAATTGAAATCCAACTGATTTGGTGTCAGACAGAGCTTCTACCACTCAGCCATCTTCACTCGACAGAATGTGTCAGCCAAATCTAGCGTTTTGTTTTTACAAACATAAACAAAAATCAAGCAGCCAAAGTGCTCCTTTCATTTTACTGAAGAGCTTTGCATTTATGCAGGTGACCATTGTTTTTAGAATTAGCTTGTCATTCAACAGTGCTCAGTTGAAAATAGATTAATGTGTATGTTCAATATATAAACAAAGAATATAGAAGAAGCATATATAAAAAAAAAAAAAAACTTGAGTTTCTGCTATGCCCGTTTATTTCTTTTTATGCTGTTTTGGAACAGTTAAAATGTCTCTTTAGTATATCTGTTATGCCAAGTAAGGATAAGAATGGGTAAAGATGGTTGAGCTCAAGTTGGGATGACTAAATCTCTACTTGATGTGTAGGCTGCTGAAAACCTGCCCAAACGATTTCATTGGAAAGAGAAAGATTCTGTCTTTTATGGAAGTGGGGGGGGGTCGTAAAATTGCACATGTGACCAGAAACTCTTTTCAATTTCTTTAAAACTTGTAATCATGGGAAAATGATTTTTTTTTTTTTTTTTTTTTTTTGGTTTTATTTAATTTTCACCAGAGATTTGATCATAGATTTGATCACACAAATTGCTATTGTTCTGTTCGTATTGTCTTTGTTCAAAGTGATCATACTAGAAACTTTAACTGACATTCTCGCAGCATAAATGACAGGTTGGCTCTGTGGGTGTTGAACAAACACAAGTGTGCTTGAGCAGGCATTTATGACAGGAATTAGCAAGTCCCCCTGAGCAGAGTCAGGCAGACCTGGATAGAAGCAGCCAGCCATATATATTTAACATTTGGTATCCAGGGTTTTGCAAAGTGTGTGTTGCAATGTACACGAAGGTAGAATTTTATTGTGATTCTCCTTATTTTTATTACCACTTGCTCTATTTCACAATTTGCATATGAAAAATACACATAGGTCAACAATTTAAATCTTCAGCATGTCTCAATGCTTTTAACATGTAAATAAAGTGTGCATGTGTGGATCGATGGCAACAAATGGTCATTTGCATGACATAATAATCTATAATTAACTCAATACATTTTCAAAGTAACCTTGTATATGAAAACATTATTTTATTTATTAAATAAAAACTGAAATTACTCTGTCGAATGGTAGCCTAACTTTTCGGCTGCACTATATATATATATATATACACACACTGTGTATTTAGGCAGCAAATGTTCTTCAAAGCAAATATTATAAAGGACAAGATATTTTATATGTCAATTAACTTTACTGATCAGTTTTTCCAAATTATGAATAATCCTTTTTCCGACAAGAAGGAAAATTGGCCAAAGTTATTTCAGAAGAAATATGATGCAACCTTTTGACTACTAGTGAGTGTTGTAACGTAGGCCAAAAATGTTATGACATAAACAATATGTGACCTCTGTGTATGTCACTCTCTTTTTTTCTTCTCTGTGTGTGTATATATAGGAAGCACGGTGGAGTAATGGATAGCGGCTTGGAGTGAGGAATTTGAGAGAGCTGAGTTTGAATTCCAGTCAAATCAATTGCATTCACTTACATGTTTATATCCTTGGGAAATTATGAATCCTCTTCTCCCTCCAGCTATGGATAAAATAGCAAGACAGACTGGGTTCTATAGCCTTGGATGACAACTGGTCTAGGAGAAGGACAATTCTGAATTCAAAACCTGCGGAGGGTCGTTTGGGGACTTTGTCACACAGTGCCTCAGATCTCTGTATTCCATCCTTCAAAAAGTGTGGATAGTTCGATACAAAACCTTCAGCACTATAATCAAATCACATGTGCTAGTGTCTGGCTGTTGGTTCCTTGAAATTAAGCTGCTTGATCCTCATGCATCTAATACAACAGGAGAGTCAAATATATATATATACACACACACACACACACACAAAAGTGCTATCAGACAACACATTAATAAGCAGTATAGGATCAGAGTAACATTAGACAGTTACACACAATCAAGACCAACATACTAGCTAAAACACTTCTGAGCCTTGAAACAATATTTTTACAACATAAACAAGCATATGTAAATAAAAACAATTATGATTTATTAAAATTCTTATCTTTGCTCAGATTTTATAAAGTGCATTTGTATGAAAACTTTCCAGTTCCCGTTCATATTGACGTGAGAGTGATGTGAGATAAGGATTATTGCATTTTCTCTTGAGGTCTATTTGAAAGGAAAATGAATTTAGATTTCCTGTTGGTACTGAACTGCCTTAGACTTATGGCCTCATCAGGTAGAAACACTGGTTCCTATACAATTACTGAAGTTAAGCAATGTTGAGCTTGGTCAGTACCAGATGGGTCACCACTTGGGAATACAAGGTGCTATAAGCTTGGTGATGAAATGGATAATGACTAAGAACTGTTAATTGGAGAACGGTTCCAATTCTGGTTAGGTTAGTTATACTCATTTACACACAGATACCCTTGGGAAAGATATGAAACCGCCTCTTTTCCCCCCAGCTACAGGTTAAATAGTAAGACTTCTATCACTAAGCCATTATCTCCAAATCATACTGATTAACTACACAGGCATGTCTTTACATTTATTTACATTCACTGGGATATAAAAGTATAGAAAGTAATATGGCCACAAAGTGAGGGATCAATTTACATATTGATTTTAATATAGAATTGATCCCCCACTTTAAGTTCATAATTTCCTGTTTATTCTCTTTAGATATGAATTCACCTCTTCTGTCCCAAGCTATGGGTTAATTAGTAAGACTTGTATCCCTAAAATATTATCTCAAAAAAAAAAAATTCTTACAATCTAAAAATGTTTTTTCACTTTAAATAACCTACAAAGGGTTAAGCTGAAAAAAATGAATCCATCAATGAACTCCATTATTCGCTATCCACAGTCATTCCTAGATCTACCTTTTTAGAATCAGGGTGGTGGGAGCGTTTTTTGAGAATATGAGTAAATGAAGTGATGGTATGTATATAGCCAAAGATATGTCCAGTAATAACTGAAAGAACTTGTTTGCTTTGATATTATAAAGCATAAATAAATTGCAATTACATTTATTATTTAATACTTTTTTTTTTTTTTTTATCAAAATTACACAGTAAGGTTGAATTCTATACCTCCTAATTTGAATAAACAAGGATCACAAATATAATTCCTTGGTGAATGTGGAAGAAAGTAAAACCCTTAATCATTGTGATCTTTAGAATAAAAAAAAAATTCTTCACTGCTTTGTGATAAATCCTTGATTCATGCTGCAGAACCAGAGTTTTTCTTTTGGTTTTTATTCAGCAAAGAACATGGCAAACTGCAGCCTTTCAGTAAGAAACAGTTAACCAACTTCATGACAAAGCAGCAAAGTGTGTGTGTGTGTGTAATAAAAATATATATATATATATATATATATCAGTGGTTTTCAACCTTTTTGCTGGAGCGGAACCACAAGGAAACATTCCAGTGGCTGGAGGAACCCCTGCAATAAATTGTCTTATACAAAAACAGCTTCAATTATTAAAATAAAATAAAAATACTCATCTTCAGGTTTATTTACAAACAAATACAAAGACAAACTGTAAAAATATTGTATACGTACATATGTAATTTTAATCTTGCTTCTACGGTTATTACACATGTTTTAAAAACTTCAGTTTAAAGTTTATTTTCATTAAAAATTCAATGAGAAACTTGAGCCTGATGTTTCTTGCACAAATCTTTAATATTGGGTCGTGTTTTTGACAGATACACACAAAGTTCATCTTCAACACATATCTGCACAGGAGAATTAAAAATTACTGTTCAATGATAGTACTTGTGTAACTTCTTGCGGAACCCCTGGGCTTTACTGGCAGAACGCTAGGTTCCGCGGAACCCTGGTTGAAAACCACTGATATATATATATATATATTATATATATTACACACACACAAAGAAAATCTTGTCAGCCTTGATGTTAGTAATACCACACGAAATATGATTTTGGTATTGAAACCTGTTTAACAAAGGAACAAAATTATCAGCATGAAACCTCAGCTTGGTATTGGCAAAGAATCAACTAAGGTTCAGCAATACATCATTGAAATAATTTTAGATGATCAAGTGGCTTGCATACATGTTCAGATTGAATGTAATGGTAACTTGGTTTTCAGGAAAAAGATGATCCTTTGAGAAATCAATGATTCACTCACAGGAAAAATAGTTGTCTATATTTCTGAGATGAGGTATTATGTACACTATTGTCCTCATCTTTGTCACTATATTTATTACGTTTTGGCCGTTGTACGCTCCAGCCTTCTTCAGGTGGTTGGAATGTTGAATTGAATGCTTTTATCCACTGCTATGTGTCCTCGAGGACACATGTCACAGGACTCAAAGAGTGTGTGTTCAATACCCAGTTAAGGCAGTGGAGAACTTGGAGAGGGAATTAACAGGAGATAACTGATAAATGACATCCATTAAACATGGCATGTAGAACTGGAACAGTCTACCCCAGTGATCAAAATAAAGGGTTCAGTTTGACATTCCAACCACCTGAAGAAGGCCAGAGTATACAACAGCCAAAATGTTGTGATAAATATGGCGACAAAGATGAGGACAATAGTTTGAATGATGTAAATAGTGAGAAATATATTGTTTCATACTACACTGCGCCTTGGTTAGAAACATTATTCATTTTGTAAAAAAACTTATTAGGGTTACATCAGAAATGTAAGCCTAATAAGTTTTTTACAAAATGCTGTCTTCTCTTTGACATTATAAAGACTAATTTGCTTTTAAAAAGCATTTGCCTTTTGTAGTTCTGCTTTAACAATTGCGTCATATTTGATCTGATATAACACTTCAAAATAACGGCTCCAGATAATTCAAACTACATTAGAACAGAACATCCATTTGTTGATCTGTAAATAAAATGAATCATGTGCACAAGCATTTGTAGCCATAGAAAGCAGAGTATATATTGTGCAGATGAATCTCTCAATAATTCATAGGCTAAGAGTGTCATACAAATTCAAAAGTTAGTCTGCCATATAGTTGTCTAATTCACACTGTTCATTGCAAATCAGTTTGATGTCTTTTTGATGCAGTTATCAGCTCAGCAAACATGTCAAAGTTGTCAATGATAAATTTGTCTAAATCAAAAATATGCATCTTTGTTACTTCAAATGGAATCTAGGAGAGTGGATGTGTCTCGACTTGCCATCCAACCACCAACACAAAAAAAAAATGAACAGAACACCAGAGATATAAGCTAATCTCCAAACCAGGATGTAGGGTATCGTGGCTTGGAAACTTTAGAAGTGTTGTCATAAAAAAAACACTTTATAATAGGTTTTTCAATTATGACAAAAATAAAAAAAAAAACTGTCCTGCTTTGAGGCTGAGAAATTCTAGTAGGTCTAGATATGGCTGACCACTAAAGGCTCGTTTTCAAGTCTTGGACTCAATGATCAGCAGATTTAAAGTCAGTTATACTAAAGAATCAACATTATACCAAAACATTGGCCAGTTTGTCAATTTTTGATAAAAGGTAAGCCTGAGAGAAATTTGATATCATTCTTTTGTTGTCGTTAAATATAATTTCTGGAATTATTTTCTTTATACTGATTTTTGCCATTGCTATCCAAGATTTTACAAAGTATAGGGGTGTGTACATTAAGGTGGAATTTTCATGTATATTTTATCTGTAGCATTTTAATTGCAAAATGTATTAAGATTATCACAATTTATCTTTTTTTTTCTTTCTTTCTTTTTTTTTTTTTTTTTTTAAATTTCCAGCTCTGTCTCCTCCCTCTCTCCCCCCTCTCCCTCCTCTCTCCCCCTCCCCCCTCTCCCCTCTCTCCCCTCTCTCCCCCTCTCTCCCCCCTCCCTCCCTCTCTCCCCTCCTCCCTCCCCTCTCCCCCCTCCCTCCCCCTCTCCCTCCCTCTCCCCTCCCCCCTCTCTCCCCTCCCCCCCCCTCTCCCCCTCTCCCTCTCCCCTCCTCCCCCTCCCCTCCCCTCTCCCCCCCCCTCCCTCCCCTCCCCCCCCCCCCTCCCCCTCCCCCTCTCTCCCTCCCCCCCCTCCCCCCCTCCCCTCTCCCCTCCCTCTGCGTGTGTCTTCGTCTCTGTCTGTCTCAAACTCTGTCGCAGTCTCTCTCTCTCTCTCATATAGATAAAACCAAGAATGTTGTCCATGTTCAGGCAATCTCATTTATAAAATCAAACTTCAGAAGGAAAAACATTGAAATTGTCCACCTCAACTTGAGCTCACTAAAGAGATGTTGCCTCTTCAGCTGCAATAAAGTATTTATCTGTAGAATTATCTTTCCTTGATGTAGTAGCAACTGAACTCAAGATTATCAAGTCTTGGATGGAGAAACCGAAAAAGTAGCCAATGCACACATTTAATAGAGATTTCTTCTTCCCTGTAGAATTTACACAGATTCTCTGATTAAATTCCTTCATTAAGTCCTTTTCAAGGATCTCATCAGACTATACTGTGTCACATTCTGATATTGACTTAGTAACGAGAAAACTTCAATGATATTGATGTCATGGATACAATATAAGAACCTGGGAATATTCAACAATCCAGTGGAGTATCATCCTGAGGAGAATGTGGTCCCAGATTCATTCACCTAAGCAAACTCTGGCTTAGCTGTTAATTTGATAATGTGATATTCACAATGTATGGTGATAGCTTGGCTACTGCATTTTGTTAAAACAAAAAAAAATTCTTTTTTACAGACATCAAAACTTGCTATAAAAGCAAACACAAAATCAGGATCCAGTTTAGAACTTTGTTTATATTGTAAATTGTGTATTTGATGTCATTTTTTTATATCGTCTGGAAACCTAAAAATGCTTTTATTTCAAAGTCATGAAAATATCTCTCCCGTTAGCAGGATTTGAACCATGACATTTTAGACACCAACTTGCACTAGTAGAAAATTGGTAACTATTTCAGACATGAAATTGGCCACTTTGATATTAAGTTCAATATTAGGTCTAATAAGATTTTCACCATTCTTCTATATGAATACCTGCCTGCATGCCTTGAAAAATATTTGAAATTTTAGTGGGACATGAGCCAAGTCAGATTTTTTTTTTTTATTGATAAGCTGTACTTATTTCTATTTGTAGATTAAGCAGAAGCTTGTTAAAAATACACTACTTAATACTGAAGCAAACCTTTAGACAAAGTAATTATTTGTTCAAAAATTAAGCCAGAAAGATTTTTTAATAAATGCTCTTTGAATACCAGCATAAAATTTAATGAAAAAAAATGTCTTGCTCACTATACAAGTTTATAACAGAAAATGACTATTTTTGGTTCTGAATTATACGGCCAAGCATTCACGACATGATGTAAATATTAAAATCTAAA